ATGTCGGTCTCATCTATTTAAAGAAATTTCATTAAAGTAAAAAAAAAAAAAATTATTTACGCACGTAATTTCATATATTTTTCGTGAAAAATAAGATCGGAGTACCTGAATTTTATGATTCTGAGTAAAGGATGCTCCAAAGAAGGTTGCTTATTAATATCTACGCAATCAATAATATCTCCGTCAACCTTTTGTCAAAATTTTAAAGTCAGATATCCGAACTACAAATCATAATGAAATTATAAATTATCAAATTATACGCGAGATTGAATCGTGGGTTTTTGCAAATATACCCTGATAGTCTTTACGATGGTACTTTTGTTCCAACTTTGGATCGTTGATGCCTCTAAATTCGTTTCTTGAATCGGAAGATCTTCGATTTTTGCTTCTTCTCCGGCGAGGTTTCTCGTAGAAAATTGGAATGTAATTACCAGCAGCAACAGTAGTTTCATCAATGGTGAAGCCATAATATATAATTAATTATATATCATAATTTTGCTACAGAAAAACTGACCCAAGTGCCTAATGGACAGTGAATTATATACCAAATCTTTGTTGTATATATAATATGTGCAATAGATTCTAAGATTTTGAGGATTCTCAAATCTGATTTCATGTATGTAATTGTATCTTTGCTGATTCTTTTATAATAATATGTATTATCATATATTAAATTTTCGTTCTTTGTAACTTATTTATTTTTAACGGTCCATGTAATAAGTCAAATTCATAACTCTTATTTGAAAAAAACGTTACAGAATTAATTATTTTTATTATATTTTTTTAATGAAAAAAATGTTATAGAATTAAATATTTCCGTTACATTTTTTTAATAGAAAAAACCGTTACATAATTAAGTATTTCCGTTACACTTTTAATGAGAAAAACGTTACAAAATTAAATTGTTCATTAAAAAAATAAGTCAACTATTCAAACTAATCAATGCAATGACGAGAGATATTTATCGATATTTATTTATTTAAATATAATAAACGTTTAGATGACTACATTTGATATCAGAGCAATATATAATCTCTTTTTTTTTGTTTGTGTTTGAACGTTTTTAACAATTTTTCTAAAATGTCGTTTGAAACGAAGTTATTGTTGTTCCTTGAGGCTAAAAACGACATGTCATTTTTTATAAGACTCGATTCAATCGATCATTTGAGTTTGCGAACAATTTTTTTGGCCAAATATGTGTGGATCTTTAATTGTAAGCCACCAATTTCCTGTATGTTAATCCTATAACGAAAAATTAACGTTTTTTAAATAAGTTAATAAAAAAAGAATTATGCATCGGATTTAGACTACGATTATTTTTTAAATTAGAAATGTTTAATTAAATAATTTTACCTCGAAGATAATATATTTCTCCGTATAAAATTTTCCACCATACGTAAAAGTTTTAGTAAATGGAGAATCCGGAGAAATCGATCGATGAACTTGTACATAACCCTTGCAAGCAAAATTAAAACATCCTTTCTTGTTTTTTATGAATTTTTTTGTAAATTTCACATGTGCTACACAATACTTACTGCCCAATATGCAAAAATTCGAGTTCTACCGTTACCAAATACATCGAGTGATGTCTAAAAAGAAAAAAAAAATATTTGCTGAATTATTATAATTATAAATTCAGAAAATAATTTACCGTATGTCCCGTAGCAACCATATTTTTTGGGTGATATTGAATATTTTCGATCCAAATAGCCGATGCACTAATTTGATGGTGCTCAACAGAACCATTGTATACCGCGTGATATTTTCCGTAACTCCAAGATATACGCGATTAAACTCATCTTTTGATTTGATAAAAAAAAAAAAAAGAAACACGAATAACCAAATAGAATAAATAGTTTTTTAGAAAGGTTATAATTTATGCTGTAAATTTTAAAAGAACTATTAAAGTTTAATGTTCGGTAAAAATAATTATAAAAAATATTGTTATTTTTAAGTACATACGTCGTAACTTTTTTGTTTATATTTATCGAAAACGTATTTTGGCTTGCCTTTTGTCAAAAAGTATTTTGAATTTTACCCGTTTCGTCACTAAATTAATTTTTAAAACATAAAAATCAAAACCGAAAGTCGAACTAAACAGAGACTAGCTAATTGCCAAGAACACTTTTGGTATGAGTAAATTCATCATTGAACAATTTACTTGCAATAAATTGTCCCCTTTGTAGTTATAATATTTCTTTTCTCTTACGTCTCGTTTCTAAGAAACGATCTTCCCGTCCCATTCGGAAATGATCTCGGTTTCATCTACTTCAAGCAATTTCATTAAAGTAAAAAAAAAAAATTATTTAGTAACGTATTGTTGGAGCCTGTTCGCTCATTTTTAGGTGAAACGAACTGGAAACTTTTCCCGGTTCGTTAAATACTGTAGTGAATAAGTTGGGTTAAGTCTCGTTATTCGTTTTTGAACGAATATAACTAGAAATTTACATATTACTCAAGCAAAATGAATTATGCCGTGACAATTAAATTCCTCTAATCATGATAATCGGATAATAAATTATTTTTTAAAAAATAAAAAAATAAAAATCAAAGCTTTATTACTAATTAAAAATCATAAGCTTGCAACCTCCAAGCTCTGCTGCATATTTCATCATCCCCGTCCACAGAATCCACCAGGTCCTCCGTACAGAATTACGTAACCCCAATTACTATTATACCCCCAGTTGTCAAAGCCATAACATCCAGACTCATCAACAAATTTCGTAACGCCATTTCTAAGAGGACTTTGAGCTATAAAATTCGCATCCACGTACTGAACCCCTCTGACATAGCCCGAGCGTTTGAAGTCTCCGTCCGGTTTGTGCCCGCTGCCCATAGGCGGCATTGTTCCGTCCCCCGCGGCTACGGCCACGCCTCCCCACCCGAGTCGGTTCGATCTAGCGTTAAGATGCGTAAACAGTTCTTTAGGGAAATACCCGATTGTCACCGAAGGTTCGCCGATTGTAATCCACCAATTTCCCGTTTTTTGATCCTACGAGATATAATTTTGCCAGTAAACAGAAAAGTCGAAATTTAAATCTCGAATCGATAAATATTAGATTAAATTTTACCTCGAAAATTACGTATCTTTGATCGGTGGTTTGTCCACCGTAGGTCGATACTGGTACGAAAGCAGATCCAGGAGCGATTTTACGATGAACTTGCACGTAACCAGGACATCGAAAATCATAGCATCCTCCATTTCCACGCCCGTTACCCTGGTAATTAAGAGGAAATAAAATTAAATTTTTATTTAATAAAATTTAAAATTAATTATATAAAGTATAAAAAAAAAAAAAGTTACTTACACTCCAATATACGAACATTCGAGGCCTATTATCGCCCTTTAAATAAGGCGATACCTGAAAAATAAATACGATTAGATTTATTTTTTTTAAAAAATAACATGATGTATTCATAATTCGATTAATCGATCTACCATATGTCCAGTAACGATGATGTTTTTAGGATTGTCTTCGAAATTTTCGATCCAAACACCCGATATGCTAATTTGTTTTTTTTGCACATCTAAATTGTACAACGCAGGGTTTCCCATTACTCCGCGGTAAATGTAGTTGTACTCGTCCTTCGTCCTGAGAGCAGCTAACTAGAAAAAAAAGCACGAAATTTAATCGTAGCAAACACTTAAATATATATAAAATTTTGAAATTCAAATTTAAATTATCAACGACGAGAGATTAAATAATTTACGCGGGTTTTTCCGGGAAGAACGTCTTTGGAATTGTTTAAGTCGGCGAAGAACATGTCTGGAAGAAACGTTGGATGGTCGTTCGGCGTTCTGTAAATTGGAACTGTTCCGAGAGGGCATTCTGCTTCCTGCATCTTGACTTGATTACTTTTAGAAAATGACGAGGAGGGTTTTTGATCCACCGGAAACGACGTCGGTTCCGTCTACACGAAGCAAACGAAATTTCTCACATAAGAACATATATAATACCTCAAAGAAGTATTATAGAATTGCAAGATTTATATAAATATATTCATACCTGAATTTCATGATTTTGGAGTAAAGGGTGTTGCAAAGAAGGTTGTTTATTGATGTCTACGCAATCGACAATTTCTCCGTTCACCTTTTAGTTATAAAATAGAACGCGTATTAAAATAAATTGCCAACTTCATAAATCGTAAATTTGAATTTGAGCAATTTTGTTCTATATACGAAATGGGTTTTTACGAGTAATCCGATTTCAAAAATAAAAATTTTAAAACTTCGAAATGAATTTCACAATGTACAAAAATATTCAAAATTGAAATTAAATTAAATTAAAACTATATTCTATATACAAAATGGATTTTCAAGAGTAATCCGATTTCGAAAATAAAAATTTTAAAATTTTCGAAATAAATTTCACAATATACAAAAATACCCAAAATTAAAATTAAATTAAAATTAAATTAAAAACATATTCTATATACAAAATGGATTTTCAAGAGTAATACGATTTCAAAAACAAAAATTTTAAATTTTCGAAATGAATTTCACAATATACAAAAATATCCAAAATTGAAATTAAAAACATATTCTATATACAAAATGGATTTTCAAGAGTAATACGATTTCGAAAACAAAAATTTTAAAATTTTCGAAATGAATTTCACAATATACAAAAATACTCAAGATTAAAATTAAATTAAATTAAAACCATATTCTATATACAAAATGAATTTTTTAAGAGCAATCCGATTTCGAAAACAATAATTTTAAAATTTTTGAAATGAGTTTCACAATATACAAAAATACCCGAGATTAAAATTAAATTAAGAACATATTTTAAATTAAATTAAATTAAATTAAATTAAGTACCTCGATAGTCTCGACAACAGCATAAATGTTCATCTGATTTTGGTACTCTTCAAAGCTACCTCCACGAGCATAATAAAATTGTAATATCATGAACTGCAGCAAAATCAGTTTTATGGCTGCTGCCATCGAACCCATTGGGAAATTAGCTCCGAATTTCACTGTAGAAATATTTGTAGGCTCTGTGAATTTTTAAACATGTGTTTGGGTCATTTTTATAAGGTTAAAATTAAATACAATTAATTATTGATTTGTTCCTAATCAACGTCCCAGATTCCTTCGCTGAATTATTAATTATAATTACTTAAATTAAACTGATACGGATTTGGTAACGGCTCCCAAATTTGAATTTATGAAATTAACGGTAACATTTTCTTTTGCTTAATATAATAATAATAAAAAGGATCTGATGCATTTTAAATTTTAATTTAATTTTCGATTTTTTAACCATATTTAGAAAATATATATTTGTTAAATTATCCTTTTCCATTATTATTTATATTTAATTAATGGATCAAAATGGTAGCCCAGATAACAAGTAAATTAATGTTCTTGAATCTCTGTGGATGTGATTGAATCCTAATAATTTAAAATTAAGCTGCATAATTAAGAACATTTTGATTTTTTATTAATAATATATATATATAGTAGATGAATTTGTAAACCTGTGATTATATATATATATATATATAATTTGTCACTTTGATGGTGAGTTGCCACCATTATAATATTTCAATTTGCTTATAAAACCATTATAAGATGACTAAGTTTTCATGGACGTTTTAATCGATGAACAAGAAGGCCTGCAAATTGGAGAAGACGACGTAGCAAAATAATCAGTAATTATGAAATTAATTAACCATGTAATCTTCTGGGTTGTCTGGTAATGCAAAACGAAAGATACCCATTTAAGAATTTTCTGGTTAAACCGCCATTGTTATACTGATCAAACAAACTAATCACGCCCATCTGCTCCACGCCCTACCAGTCTTGACCGAGAAGCTATTAGTGCCGGACGGACGGTATGGCAGCGCCGACGACGGATGTTGCCGGAAAGAAGAAGAAGAAGAAGGCATCGTCAAGAGGGCACAACAGGTTCGTAGGTGTCAGACAGAGACCGTCAGGAAGATGGGTTGCAGAGATCAAAGACTCGTTGCAGAAGGTTAGACTCTGGCTCGGCACTTTCGACACGGCGGAGGAAGCCGCTAGGGCTTACGATAACGCGGCTAGAGCCTTGCGCGGTGTCAATGCGCGGACCAATTTCGAGTCGCCGCCGCAGTCAGCGCCGACTGCAAAGCAGAATGGTAGTACTCTCGCCGGGCGTCTCGCGGTGGAAAAAATGGAGCCTTTCTCGTTTGAGGCGGTTTGCGGCGGCTCAGCCAGTGATGGGTTTCTTGGTGCGCTCAAAGCCAAGCTTCTTGACGGAAAGGGTTCGCGAGTTCGAGCCCTGTTGGCTGCAAGTTTTCAATTCCCACCTCTTTTTAGCCCTCCGCCTAACCCAACTGATCCCGTGGTGGACCGAACCGGGTTCGGCCAGTGGCACGATCCGCCACCCCAGGCTGCTCCCGCAAAAACCAGTGTCATATGGTCCAACGAACAGTTAGTTGACTGGGGGACAAATGGCGCCAGTACCCAGATGAACTATCACGGTTCTGATCAGAATAATTGCTCGTTTGCGTCGACATGGCCGGCGTCGGTATCTGAAATTCGAGGTGTTTGGCCATTAGATCAGCCCCAGTTTGTGGGCTGTGATGAAGAAGATGGTGTTTGGGGTACTGGTGGTGATGGTTC